TATAAACAATGATTAAACCATTTCTTCCTGTGTTTTTTCCTCATTGGGATTCACTGTATCTCCCCAAGGCTCAACTAAACCAAACAAGATCAATGAAATTTATTCGTGGCTCTAAATAAACTTCAGACATAAAAGACAGCCCTGTCCTTGATGCCCCCGCCTGCACTCAGAAAGCAGAAATGATCTAGGCCAGGAGCGAAGAAGGGGGTTGGGGGGTGGATTAGGGGTTGGTGAAGGAGATCTTTCCTGGGAGCAGAAATGATCTAGGCCAGGAGCGAAGACGGGAGGGGTGGATTAGGGGTTGGTGAAGGAGATCTTTCCTGGCGGGAAGAAAGGAATAGGATTTCTGGGTTGCATTACTGCCCCTCCAACTGGAAGATGCAGTCCCCTCACCTGACATGGAGGGGTCCTCAGAAAGTGAGCACTGAGGGAAGTGGATCCACTGCCATAGGCGCCCCAAGCTCAGTGTCGGGCCCAGGGCTGGCAGAGTCCCCTGATGTCCTCTTGCCCCAGTTCCCCCCGCCCTCGTGCCGACCACTGCACCTGAGGCTGCCGGAGCCACATATGGATGAACAGAGCACGTGCTGGGTGCACTGAACGCCACAAGCATCGCTTCATCCTGTCCCCACGATGGCCATGGGAAGCAGCTACTGTTACTGCCCACACTGTTTGCAGGCAAAGAACTGGAAGCTTAGCAATGTTAAGGCGTTTCCCCAGAGGCCCACAGCTGGGAAACGGCAGAGCTGGGAGGGGGCCCAGGTGGTGCCCAGCGTTGCTCCTCTATGACTCTTCTAAGCTTCGAGCTTGGTGCGGACGTAATACAAGGTACTTTCATTTTCAACTGGTTGTGTGACCATAACTAAGTCAAATAACCTCCTCGACCCTCACTTTCCACCTCGTTAAACTAAGAGTTAGAACCGTGTTCTCTGAATAAATGCTCCCTGGGCATCTACTATGGTTGAGGCACAGTCCCTGTCCTCGTGGAACTTGTCACAGCAGCTGCAGCGGACCTGTCGCTGAGTACTCTCTGACAAACACTGTGGGGTCTGTGTCGTTGTAGGGAGTTTAAGAACAGCAGCAACAACAGTACCACGGCCCTCACGGAGCGAGGGCTGGCTCAGGCACAGCACAATCCTGAGTGCTTCCAAGCATGACCTGGCCTAGTTCTCCCCGCCTAGGCGGTCGGGGTCCTATTATTCTCGTTTTACAGGTGAGAAAGCTGGGCTCAGAGATCTCTAACATGCCCGTTCTGTACAGCTTGGAAATGGCAGCACAGGAATTCCGATTTGCACAGGTCTGACCCTAGAGCCCACTCACTGTGCTCTTCTAAGCTAGGCTCCACGCCCAGCTAGTTATCATTTTCTGTAGGGACTCTTCTTCCCAGTGGGGGTGTCTACTGATACGTTGTTAAGGAATGAGAGAGTTCTTCCCTCGTTCCCTGTGGTCACAGACATTCCCCGTAGTATGTTTTTTGGTGGCGTAGTTTTCAGAGATTGAACCTTGGACTGCCTGCATCAGAATCACCTGGGGTGCTCATTCAAGTGCAGATTCCTGGGTCCCCGTACAGGGTCTACTGAGTCCGACTCTCCTGATAGGAGGTCTGGGAATCTGCATTTCCAACTAACCTGGGAGAGTCTTAGTCTTGCTAAAATGTGAGCCTTGGATGTGGATGAGCCCTGGCAGAACCGTCTGTTGTCATATGCATTATATGATTTTCCTACAAATTCAGTTCCCTGTGGTTTAAATCCCTGCGGCTTGAATTATCTGGCCTTAAAGACAAAACTGCCCTCAGAGGCACCTCTGTGTTCGCTGCACCTGACAGCCAGCTTGCCGGGGAGTTCCGCGTTGTCCCTGAAAACCTGAGTCCTGGCTGAAAGCTTTCCTGCGCAAAGATAAGGTTCTCTCTGGGATGAGATCCCACTGTTAAGTCAGGTGTGTGCTTTGCGTGACTTGTTTTTCTTCTAGGAGATATTCATAGTCTGGGCTCTGAAGTTCAAAGGGCCAGTGGGGAGAGGCCCACTGCGCAGGAATTCCAGGCCCACAGGCAGGGGCTCTCACCCACCCAGTGAGGGGACCCCCCAGGTCAGGGGCCCCAGTGAAGTCATAGCCCAGAGCCCTCAGCGGGAGGGCTTTGAGGGGCTGCCCGCCTGCTCCCCACCCCAGCCTGGCCTCTGCTGCTCCGAGCCAAAGTCTGCTGATGGCTGATTCAGGAGCAGGGGGCAGGCTTTGAAGTCGGACAGACCTGGGCTTAAGGCCCGGCCTTACTGTTTACTGGCTGGATGACCTCATTCCTCCAAGCCCCTGTTTCCTGCCTTGTAGGGTACAGACGGCAGTAAGCATACCTCTTGCGTGGTTTATGAGGATTAAATGAGATGACGCAGGCTAACTCCCAGCACACGATAACGGCTCAGTTCTAGGGAAGGGTTCTTACCCGCTCCCTGCCTGCAAGCGGAACCCCCCACCCCCACCCTCATGCTCCTCAGCAGCTGCGCTTTAGAAATGCTACACGACGCTCCCTCTGCCACCTGCTGCCTGCCAGCGCCTGCCAGGCTGCAGGGACCAGCCCTGGGAGCTCCTCACGCCCCCTCTGCTTTGCCCAGGTCCACTCAGTCCCCTCAGTCTCCTTCGCATTATTTGGACTTTTACGGTCACATCTCAGTTAAACAAAAAACACTTAGAAGTCAAGGTTCCATGTTAGGAACCCCATCAAGGACCCGGAGAAAAACAAACAAAAAGTGTTACAAAGCCTGAATACTATAGCTCATGTTTTTAAATGCAGAGAGCTCACTCGCAACCTAACTGGCATTGCTTTAGAAACAGTCACGACACACCTTATGTTAGAGGCAGGAGAGTTTGGGCAACAGGAATGCTGCCACACATAGGCGCTTGCTGAGAGCAGCAAGAAGAAACCCTTGAAAATTCACTGCCAAGAGAAAGAGAGGATGGGAAAAAAGGGAGGGAAGGGGGAGAGAAAGGAAGGGACAGAGGGGACAACTGGTTGGAATATTATTATCAATTAAAAGGCATAAAATGCCGATTCACTTAGATGAACTGTGGAAACTTTATGCTACCTGAAAGAAACCAGTGACAGAAGGCCACATAGTGTTTGTTTGTTTTCCTTTAACTGATATGCAATGGTCAGAATAGACAAATCCATACGGACAATAAATAGATTAGTGACTCTCAGGGCTGAGGATGTTGGGCGTAATGAAATTATTCTAAAATTGATTGTGGTGATGGTCTCACTACTCTGCGAATATAATGAGAACCAATGAATGTACATTCTTTTTTTAAAAAAAATAGTCTGAAAAGTTTGATGTCATTCATTGAAGGACAGTAATTCTCTAGAAGGTGTGGTGGGGGCGCATCTAGGAGGTCCCCAGGATGTTTTCAGAGGTCAAAACTATTATTAAGGTCAAAACTATTATTATGCAGTACTAAGGCCTTACATGGCCTTTTCACTCTCATTGTCTCGTGGGTGTGCAGCGGAGTTTTTCCAGAGGTTACATGACATGTGATGACATGGTAGCTCTGAAGGCTAATGGGATGTGTGCCTCTGTATTCTTGTGTTTTAAATTTCTCTCGGTCTTAATTCTTAATACAGCCAATGTTGACAGATATAATGCACATAAAACAAAAGATCATTGGGGTACTTGATAATTTTTTAAAGTGTAAAGGAATCCTGAGGCCAAAACATTTCAAAACCACGTGTCGAGAGAGAAACTGCCACTGAACCCCATAGTCGTAGCATTCCTGCCTGACAGCAGAACAGTGTCGTGGGTTTTCAACTATGAACCCTGACTGCAGGCCACAGAAAGCTCCCCTGGTGCCCCACAGGGCCTTCCCTGTAGCTTTCAGCATGGCCTCCCTTGGGAGCATTTACTATGTATGGGCACAGCATTTTTCATGCCTGACATACCTCACCTTCACAGGGACCCTCAGAGGCAGGTGCTGTTATTACCCCCTTTACAGAGGAGGAAACTGAGTCAGAGGCTAAGTAACTTGTCAAAGGTCCCACAGCTAATGGATGATGGAGCCTGAACTTGAACCCAGGCAGTCTGGCTCCAGGGTCAGCTCTCTTAAGCAGGATGTTAGCCCCTCTTAGCCATCCAGACCCTGTAGCTACAGGTCAGTCTCACCACTTCCCCAGGAGGGCCCACGGTGGGGAGAAGCGCATGGAGTTGAAGGTCAAGAGACTAGAGTTGAAGTCCTGGCTCTTCTGCTTGCGTCTGTGTAATTCAAGCAAGTTATTTATCTTCCCTGAGCCTTGGTTTCTTCATCTAAAACGTTAGGGTGATCATGGGACCTCTCCCAAAACTTGTTGGTGGGATTGTATAAAATACTGCAAAGCAATATGGTGCTATGGGGAACCAGGTCCAGCCAAGGCCGTGCTGGCTGTGTGACTGGAGCAGTTATTTAACCACTCTGAGCCTTAGTTTCATCCTCCATATAATGGAGATAATAAAACGCTTGATAGGAGATTTAAATAAGACTGCAAGTCTGAAAGGGCATAGGCAGCTCAGCACAGGTTAGCTGTTGTTATGCACAAGGGATTGGCGAGTTGCAAAGCAGGACAATACTAGTACTGTAATGAGGCTGGTCTTTAGCTCTAAGGCAAACCAAGTTCCTGTTACTATTCGGGACAGGGAGACATCAATGACATCATGGTCTTGGCACGCTCCAGCTTTGAAAGGAGTCTGTGCCCTAGGATTTTGCAACATGTGGTCTCAACCAGCAGCAGCAGCAGCAGCAGCAGCTGGGAGCGTGTCAGCAATGCAGACTCTCAGGTCCCACCCAGGCCTCCCGAGTCAGAATCTGCATTTTGACAAGATCCCCAGCTAATTCCTATACACACTCAAGTTTAAAAAACACTGGTGTCGCATGGAAAGAAAGAATGGTAATGGTAGATTTTGGCCTGGGATGGGAAGGGTTAATATTTAGTTTGGCTCCTGCCAAGGCACCGGAAACAGAAGGTTCCAGAGATTGAAGTGTATGGACTGATGGGACAGGAAGGCTCCCTTCCTGCCTGTGTCCTGGACTGCCAGGGCTCCAGCCTGGGGCCTGCACTGAGCCTCGGGCTGTGGTGAGGAAGGGCCCCGGGCCTGCAAAGCAGAGGGCATGCTGGGACAAAGGGAGGCCTAAGTGCCTCTTCTTGGGCCACCTGGACTCAGAGTTGCCGGAATAAGCCTGGGAGGTTCAGTCCTCAGGCTAAGGCCACATGAGGTCTGAGGCAGAGTGGAAAAGCCCAGAGGAATGTCACAGTTAACTGAGCAGGGCTCTCCCAAGGGTGGCCAGCAGTGGGACAGCTGTGTGAAGGCCTCTGAGGTCTCCCTGTTGCACCCAGCCTCGCCCTCTGACCCCTGTTCCCCTGGCCTCTAGGGGGTGGGAGCAGGGCTGGGTCCTGGGATCCGGGGTGCAGCGCTGTGACCATGCTTCCTCTGCAGTGCTGGAGCAGCTGCTCCCCGAGCTCACGGGGCTGCTCAGCCTCCTGGACCACGAGTACCTCAGCGACACCACCCTGGAGAAGAAGATGGCCGTGGCCTCCATCCTGCAGAGCCTGCAGCCTCTCCCAGGTCAGACATCAGCACTCTGCCCAGAGCCCCTCAGGACCCTCAGTAGCTCCCCAGGGCTGCTGGCAGGAGGAAGCCCAAGCCTCACAGCATAGCATTCAACACTTTGTGTGGTCTGGCCAATGTCCTCATCCACTTCAGCCCTTCTCCACCACAACCCTGCCTGTACTGTTTGTGCTTCTCCAACCCCCGCGCACTACAAATTCACACACACAATGCACATGCCACACACAGGTACACACCACAAACCACACTCACATGTACACCACATTCTCACATACACCTCACATGCATAGCACATCCATAACAAATACACACTACATGTGACACACACCACGCTCTCACCAACAGCATGCACTCACATTCACAGCACACATGACACATGACACATCTCTCACACCCCACATGCTCTCACACACAACAAACACATACACATCGCACACTCCTGTACACAGACGCACACTGACACACACCATCTTTATGAGTTGGCCCCACGCTGTTATTCGTTCCCCACCCTCTGCTTCCCACAGCTTCTCTGCCTGTCTTCCCAGCAGCAAGGCCTCCTCGCCTGCTCCAGCCTCTTCTCTCCAGCTGTCAGCCTCTGAGATGATATGTGTACATCAAGAGCTCAGTGAGCCCTGATGGGCTGGCCCAGTGTCCCGCACTACTGAAGGCGTCTGAGTGACACGCTGGGAAGTCACTACTCAGTGATTCTCTGAGCCTCACTTCCCAGTGACAAAGCAGGTCAAAGTCACTGGCTGCCCTCACAGGACTGGGCGGAGGAAGGGGCAGTGGTCGTTGAGCTGGCTGGAGCCCCTGCCCCCAGCCACTCCAGGGCGACCCCTGGATTCTGTTTTCTATTCTGGGCTCCAAGCATCCTTTCACTTGGAGGAGATCCTCAGTAACAATGTAAAAATGAAAACAAGGTTTGAAAACTAAAGAAGTCATTTTGGTTGTGCACATGCTTTGCAAACTGAATCTTGTATCCTGTGCAGTGGGAGAGACCTGGCCCCTCCTCAGAGTCAGCATCCGCGGTTCCCCGTCCTCCTCACTGTTGGTGTGTTCTCCTTCCTCCCAGAAAAAGAAGTCTCCTATCTGTATGTGAACACAGCCGACCTCCACTCCGGGCCCAGCTTCGTGGAGTCCCTCTTTGAAGAATTTGGTAAGTGACCCTCTCCCGACCTCAGTCTCTGGAAGGGCCCCTGACTGGGCCAGGAGATACCTGCACCTGGGCCTGGCTCCAACATGACAACAATGGTCACTTTAGGCAAGTCCCCGAGCCTCTCTGGGCCCTGCCACGTCTGAAAGTCTAGTCAATGTACAGTAATAGGAAATCACCCCCAAATTTTGAGGAAAGGAAAGGATGAACGTGCAGGCAAGGAAGGTCTGGCACATGGGGCATTGTCTTGCCTGCTACCTTGCATTCATCAGCAGTGGCCGCTGGGACCCTGGGTTGAGCAGTGCAGTGGCACCATGGGCATGGGAGCAGCCAAGCTGGGCTGGTGCCGTGTGTGTGTAATGAGTGTTTTATCTCAAGAGGAGGCTCAACACAGGGAGAAAGCTATGGGTCAAGTGAGAGAGTGTTAGGGGCTGACAGACTTAGGGAAGACATTGCTTTCATGACATAACCCTGACAAATTTGCACAGCACTGTGGCAAACGTTATCTCATTCGATCTTCTCCATAACCCTGAGCGATAGACAAGGCCGGTTTACAGATGAGAAGACCGAGTCTCAGAGCGATGAAGTCATTGGTCGTTAGGGTTACTAATGGAGTTGGTATTGGAGGCCTTCTGACCCCAAATCCAGCCCTCTTCCTGCTCTGCCTTGCTCATCCTCGGCTTTCTCTGCCCAACGGCCTGACGCTGCATAGACTGTGACCTGAGCGACCTTCGGGATATGCCGGAGGACGATGGGGAGCCCGGCAAAGGAGCCAGCCCTGAGCCAGCCAAGAGCCCGTCTCTGAAACATGTGAGTCATGGGCTGGCTTCCCACACCCTCAGGCCCTTTGCTCCTCTGGAGGGGGCAAGGGAAGCGGCCCCCCTGATGCTGGGGATGCTCCTGGATGTGCAGGGCCCTGTTCTCTCTTCCGTGTGGTAGTTAAGGGCAGAAACTGACTCATGCTTACTGTGCCCCCGCTGAGCAGGGATAATGTCCCTGTAGGCCCAAAGGATGGCCCAAAGGGTCTGTCATGACTTGTGCTTGCAGTAACACAGATGGAGTGATAGGGAAAGCTCTGGGCCAGAAACTGAGTGGCCTTTACCCTCTTCCCTCCTGCTGTGTGGCCTCTGAGCCTGAGCTTTTCGCCTACAAAATGAAGGTTTGGATCATATCTCAGGTTCCCAGCCTTGGGGCCATAGAGTTAGATCAAGGGACCCATAATCACATCAAGCATTGTGTCTCAACTGCATAACTCACTATCATCAGCATCAACCGTTCCAACTGTTGACAACTTACTATGTCCTTTACATGCGCACAGCAACTGAGTGAGGTTCTCCACATTTTACAGGAAAGGAAACTGAGGCTCAGAGAGAGTAAGTGACATGCTGATGTCCCACAACTAGAGAGTCATAGAGTGTGGCTGTAAAGCCAGGGTTCCCTGGCCCCAGAGCCTAAGCTCTTGGCCACGAGGCGACACTGCCTCACTAAATAACATCTCACATTTGCTTGTCCCGCTGCTCCTCGTGTGTGTGTGTGTGTGTGTGTGTGTGTGTGTGTGTGTGTGTGTGTGTAGAGGTGCTTATAGGGCACTGCAGAACTCACAGTAGCTTTTGGTAATTCTGCATGTGCTCACTCAAGCATGTAACTCCTTCTATGTGACAGTCCACAAAACTTTTAGACATTACAGAAGCCCTGCTGCTTAAATAACTTGGATAAAAACACAGGACCAACCAAACACTCTTAAGGTTTCCCAGCTTTGCCCTTCTGCAAGTCTATTAGATATTATAGCTACTCAGTCAGATCTTGCCTTACAGGAGCGCCTGCCTCCCTCTCCCCAGCCTCCTTCCCGTCATTCTGCTGCTCCCCTCTGCTCTCCTGGCCTTCTTAGTCTCACATACCGCCTCCTTCTCCCTCCAGGCAGCAGACCTGCCTCCACCGCTCCCAAACAGGCCTCCGCCTGAGGACTACTATGAGGAGGCCCTTCCCCTGGGGCCAGGCAAGTCCCCTGAGTACATCAGCTCTCACAGTAAGTTCTGGTCCCCTTGGGAGTAGAGGGCAAGGAGTAGGAGGCTCCTCTCCTGAAGCTCCAAGCCTGGCACCCGCCAGCCAGGCTCACCCCCTGAGGAGTAGCTGCCTGAGCACATGGCCTCTTTAATGACGTCCTGGGTACATCAGTGGGTGTGGACCCAGGGGTCAGGAGTTTGGGCTCTAGTCCCAGTTCTGTATGGCCTTGGGCAATCCCCTTCCTCTCTACGGGCCTCTGTTCCCTTACCCTTAAAATAAGAAAGAGGGGTAGATACATGAATGTAAATGCATTAGGGTGGAGATGCACAGATGACCACTACAACCTTTGCCTAGCCCTGAAGCTGGTGCTAACCTCAGTGCTCCTCCTCAGTGGACTGGTGAACTAAGGCATGTTTCAGCAGAATCACAGCTTACAGGCGGATTAGGTTATGTAGGTTATGAAGTCAAAGCATATGATAAAAAAGCACATGGTCAAAATCAGAGGTCTTCAGCGGAGAGTGTGGGCACCCAGGGGATTTATGAGATTTTGTGGGAGAAGTATCAGAAGTATCTTTTACATTTAGATCAATAGCTCTTTTAAAAATTCCTATGTGAATGTTTTATAGAATTTATAAGCTAATAATAGCATGAAGCTTCTAATTAGTTTAAATATAATTATGTGTATATATAATATAGACATACATAATAATTATTTATGCATGTGTAATTTATACATAAATATAATTATAGTTCATGATTATATTTTTACCGGTAGGTGAGCACAATAAAATAATTTAGAGGGCACTAGTACAAATTATCTTTGAAAAATCTCTTAGCCTGGCCAGCATAGCTCAGTGGTTGAGCGTTGACCTATGAACCAGGAGGTCACGGTTCGATTCCCAGTCAGGGCACATGCCCGGGGTTGCGGGCTTGATCCCCAGTGTGGAGCATGCAGGAGGCAGCCAATCAATGATTCCCTCTTATCATTGATGTTTCCATCTCTCTCTCCCTCTCCCTTCCTCTCTAAAATCATTAAAAAATATATTTAAAAACTAAAAAATCCCTTAAGTTGACCACAAAAGGAGAGTGTCTGGTTTTGACTTGTTCTCAATCAGTCCCCTCCAGTGTTACAACAGGTGGCTGTTCCTCTGAGGATCAGATAAGTCACTGGCTTGGGTGTGGGGACTTAGCAATCCATACAAGAAAGTACATGATGTTCAGTTGCCAAGATCACATCTGGTAACTTGGGAGAACAGTAGCCTGACATGGATAGTAGGTTGGTGAGATGGAATTCAGGGAAAGAACTGTCATAGGATGTCATTGTAATTGCTTTTGTGCTGTAAAGTCATAGATTAAGAAAAGGGTAGTGAGGCCCAGAAGGGGCTTTCATCTCAAGTGCTAAGAAATGATGGAAAGGAACAGCAATTTAGGTGGAGTGCCACAATGTACTATGATGTACATTGAAATAAAATCCTCTACACCAGGAAGGAAGGAAGGAAGGAAGGAAGGAAGGAAGGAAGGAAGGAAGGAAGGGAGGACGAACGGACGGACATGATGGTTTTTGGATGACCCAGCACAGTATTTGAGCATGTATATGAAAATGTTTGTGTGCTGGAATATTTTCCAACCACAAAAAAAGTAAATAGCCCTAACTGGTTTGGCTCAGTAGTTAGAGCATTGGCCCAAGGACCAAAGGGTTGCAGGCTCGATCCTTGGCCCAGGTCAGGGCATGAGTAGGAGGCAATCAATTGATGTGTCTCTCTCGCATCAGTGTTTCTCTCTCTCTCTCCCCATCCTCCCTCCCATTCTCTCTGGAAATCAAGGGAACAATATCCTCAGGTGAGGATTTTTTTTTTAAGTAAACAAAATAGGTCTCCTGTGCTGATCAGAAAAGAATTCCAAGATACATTCACTGAAAGAAATCAAACACATAATACTGCATATGACATGATTCCACTTATTTTTTAACAGTATATATGCACATGCATTCATTTTAACAATTTTTCTAGGATATGCAAGAGACTCAACAGTGCTTTCCTGTGGGAAATGAATAGAAAACTGGGTGAAGGGAACATATATTCCCACTCAAATTCTTTTGTACTGATTATGCTTTTCACCATGGGCATATATATTTTTTATTGTAGTAAAACACACATAACAGGAAATTGACCATTTCAACCACTTTAAAGTGTCCAATCAATGGCATTTGATACATTCACAGTGTTGTGCAGCCATCACCACTATCTAGCTCCCAAACATTCTCATCACTGCAGAAGGAAACGCCATCCCCATTAAGCAATCACTCCCTATTCCCCTCCCCGCCCCCCCAGCCCCTGCCAATCACCAATCTGCTTTCTCTATGGATTTGCCTTTTCTGGATACTTCATATAATAGAATCATACAATGTGTGGCCTTTCGATCCTCGCTTGTTTCACTTAGCATAACGTTTTCAAGGTCCATCCGTGGCATTGCATATATCAGTACTTCCTTCCATTTTCTGGCCAAATAATATTCCACATTTTGTTTATTCATCCATCACATGGACATTTGGGTTGTTTCCCTCTTTGGGCCACTGCGGCGTAGTATTTTTATGATTGCTAACTAGTTCAAACAAAGTGAAACGGTGAGGTTGGACAGGTGATCAGTGGCTTTCTCCAGCCTTCATAGCCGTGGGGTCTGCTGTCACTATTAGCAGCTATTTGTCTGTGGAGCAGGTGACTGTTATTTTCTCCACTGGAAAATGGGGGGGGGGGAAAAAAAATGAAGTGCTCTGTGCCCTGAATCCCAGGTCGAGCCTGAGGCTCCTCCACTTCCCCACAGAGCTCACCCCCCTCTCAGCTGGCACAGAGAAGCCGCCTCTGGAAGCAGCAGGCATCCTGGGGCAGTAGGGAAGGGAGGGCCTCAGGAAGGGCCAGGGAGCTTGTCCAGGGAAAGAGTGCCAAGCCCATCAGGGAGTATCCTTCCTTTCACACAGTATCCAGCCCCAGGTGTCTGAGCACTTGGGCCAGGCTGTCCCTCCCTCTTCTCCCTCACACCTCTTCCTCCCCCACCCCCACACTCCTGGTCCTGACCCTCCCAGTCCACCTCACAGGGCATGCCACCAGCACGTGAGGCCTCAGAGTGCCTGCTGGGAAAGGCAGGCTCTGAGCCACACTTGGGAGACAGAACTGGCTGTCCCGGTCGCTGAGAATCCGAGCACTGCCATCCTCCGGAAACAGATGGACAGCAGGGTCTGGGAGCCCAGAGCAGTGCTCGGAAGAACAGTGGGGTGCGAGAGCGAGCTGGACTGGGTGAAGAAAGGCTTTCTGAAGAGGGGATGTGCCGCTGTCCCCTAAGCTGGCAGCCTTGGTCTCATCCAGGCTCTGTCACTAGCAAAATGTGTGTAGCTCAGTTTCCTCGTCTGTAAAATGGGGCTGATTCCTACATCCCTGCACTCCGGGAACTGGAGGAGACAATAAGAATAATGTGCCATGCACTGTGCTGAGAGTTTATATGCCTGATATCACTAATCCATGGGGGAAATTGTGCTTGTCACTTTAAGATGAAGAAGGTGAAACGCAGATAAAACCGTTTTCTTTCCAAGGTCACTCAGCAAATGATGGAGGCAGATTTAAACTGAAATCTGATCAATCCCAACACATACGCCCTTAACCCACTGAACTTCAGAGTGTGCTCCAGAGACGGTCTACATCAAAATAACCTTTTTTTTTTTTCAAATCCAACTCCTTGGAGTTCGATATAGTTTCTATTTTTACATATGTTTTAAAATGTCCTATTAAATAGTTGGGGGATTTTAAAGTGCAGAGTCCTCAGCCCTGTCCATCCCAGTGAATCCGAATTTCTGGGGATACAACCAAGGATCGGCAATTTAAAAAGACACCTGGTAATTCTGAATAGAACAAACTGTGAGGTAACCCCACCCCTGTACTGTGCTGCACCCCTGAGTGGGATTGTGCTGTGAAAGTCCAGCACAGGCAGCTGCTGTATTCACTCTGACATGCATTAGTATTACCTCGTCTAGTCCATTTCCTCCTTTGAAGTCACAGAAGCTTAGAAGGAGAATTGCTTTGATACAAAGAGGGGGATGTATCAGGAAGTGAGCAGAAGGGCTGAGGTGGCGCAGATTTAATGAAATCTGATCAATCCCAACACATACGCCCTTAACCCACTGAACTTCAGAGTGTGCTCCAGAGACGGTCTACATCAAAATAACCTTTTTTTTTCAAATCCAACTCCTTGGAGTTCAATAGTTTCTATTTTTACATGTTTTAAAATGTCCTATTAAATAGTTGGGGGATTTTAAAGTGCAGAGTCCTCAGCCCCGTCCATCCCAGTGAATCCGAATTTCTGGGGATACAACCCAAGGATCGGCAATTTAAAAAGACACCTGGTAATTCTGAATAGAACAAACTGTGAGGTAACCCCACCCCTGTACTGTGCTGCACCCCTGAGTGGGATTGTGCTGTGAAAGTCCAGCACAGGCAGCTGCTGTATTCACTCTGACATGCATTAGTATTACCTCGTCTAGTCCATTTCCTCCTTTGTAGTCACAGAAGCTTAGAAGGAGAATTGCTTTGATACAAAGAGGGGGATGTATCAGGAAGTGAGCAGAAGGGCTGAGGTGGCAGAGGATGCGGCAAAGGCGGCACAGGAAGGAGGCTGGGATACCACTCCGTGTAGTACAGGGACCAAGACTCACGTCCACACTCACCAGTGCTCTGGGGTCAGTGAGGAGGGGCTGACCAGGCTCTGCCTGCGAAGGTCAGAGAGAAGAACTTCAGCTGGGTCTTGAAGGGTGAGTAGGAGTTCTCCAAGAGAAAATAACAGAGCACAGGGAGTAGCATGAACGAGGCCTGGAGGTGTGACAAGGCCCACCAGGACAGTTCCTGGTGACAGGAGCACAGAGGGCATGTGGGAGGTGCAGTAGATGAGACACATTGAGGAGGCCACACCCTGGCCAGGAGGGCTGCAGGGAGGGCCACTCTCTCCCCTGAGTGGGCAGTGGTATCCAGGGTCTTCCCCAGCCCTGGCCCCTGGAGTCTGCCTGCATTTTTCCAAAGTGCGGCTCCTTCTGCCAACCCCACAGATGGCTGCAGCCCAGCCCACTCCATTGTGGATGGCTACTACGAGGACGCAGACAGCAGCTACCCCTCAACCAGGATGAACGGAGAAATGAAGAGCTCCTGTAAGTACCAGGCGGGCCTTCAGTAGGGTTCTGTCCCCTTGACCTGACCCTTGGCATGCATGTGCCCAACCCCCTGACCCCATTAGTGTCCCCATGGAGGCCCCAAAGCCCTTGTCCTCAATGACCTTGGGATTCAGGGGAAAGATCACCAGCACAGGAGTCAGGAGCCCCTGATGGAGCCCTTGCCCTGACTCTTGGTGACCGACCTTAGACAAGTCATTCATTCTCTTTGAGCCTCCCGTTTCGTTATGTATAAAATGGGGATTTGCTGGAGTGTCATGAGAATGACTTGAGACAGTGGATGCAAAGATGATGGGGTAGTGACAGTCGCTGATGTTTACTGAGCACTCACTCACTGCTAGGCACTTAGCCAAACACTCCACATTCACTGACTCTCGCAACAGCCCAAATGGGCAGATACTATGATACTGTTGTTCACTGTGACGGTTTTACTGATGAGGAAACGGAAGCTCTGAGAAGTAAAGTCGCCAAGGCTACAAAGCTAGTGGCAAAGGTAAAGCACAGCGCCCACACGGGTGTTTAGCCATCACCATAACCACGCCTCACACCCACCCCTTCGTGGTCCTGGGGCCCCAGGGTGGGGATGCCTTCGAAGGGGTAGGGAGGTGCCACCCAGCTGATGGCACAGTGGCAGGTCCTTTCTCATGGCGCCTGCAGACAACGACTCTGACGCAATGAGCAGCTCCTACGAGTCCTACGATGAGGAGGAGGAGGACGGGAAGGGGCTGCAGCCCACGCACCAGTGGCCCTCGGAGGAGGCCTCCATGCACCTGGTGAGGGACTGCAGGATATGTGCCTTCCTGCTGCGGAAGAAGCGCTTTGGGCAGTGGGCCAAGCAGCTGACTGTCATCAAGGAGGACCAGCTCCTGGTGAGTGGGCACGGGCGTGTTCCTCTCGGCCTCTCGTGGACTTGTGCACGCGTGTGTATCTGTGTGTGTGCGGGCACGTCTGCCTCAGTTACCCTGGGCTTGCTTTGTGCACAGAGGCTCAAGGCCCGGTGCTTTGAAGATCGGTGCTCTGCCACTGGAGTAGAATTTAAAACACACACACACACACACACACACCAAAAAAAAAAACTAGAAGACCTGACATAGACTTTACCAAGAGTTGGTTTTGCCAAAGACAAACTTTTTTTATCGCTTTAAAACAATGTTTTCATTATGCAAGTAAAGTGTTTATAAAGCTAGAGCAAAACAATGTGGAAAATGATTTTTAAAAACACCATCTATAATCCCATTGACCAAGAGCCACTGTTAAGTTTGGGGGGGTTTTATTTTATTTTAGAGTACATTTATTAAAGCTGGGACAGTGAAACAAGGAAGGCCTAGGGTAGAAGAAGCAACAGGAGAGCCTGGGTGGGCTGCTTTCGCTCTCCAGAAACGTTAGGGGAAGGAAGTGAGCCCAGGCGGGCTGCTGTCAGCTCACTGGGAGTCAGAGAAAAGGGGGCCTTGGAGACAGGTTCAGGGGGGTTGCCCAGGACAAGCTGCCCATTGCTCCCCTGGTTGCAAGTCTCATGGGGACCCTTAGAGTTTAGGAGAAAGACGATTCACTGGAAAAGAAGATTCGAGTGGACATGTCCCAAAGAGGGCAAGCCTGTTACGTTGTGGGTTTTTTTTTATATATTTTTATTGCTTTCAGAGAGGAAGGGAGAGGGAGAGAGGGATAGAAACATCAATGATAAGAGAGAATCATCGATCGGCTGCCTCCTGCCCACCCCGGCATGTGCCCTGACCGGGAATCAAACTGTGACCTCCCGGTTCACAGATCAATGCTCAACCACTGAGCCACACCAGCTGGGCCTAAGTTTCAATATACATATTTCCACCCTCATTTTCATACATCGTTTTTTTCCAAAACTGAGCCCATGCAGCACTTGCTTTCTTAGTTTTTTTTAGTTTGCCATCTCTCATCCCTATTATGTCATAAAAGAAAATGTGCCCTTAATTCCAAAGTAGAAGATTGGACAGACATAACTTCAGGAAAAAAAAATAGCTTTCTGCCCAAGTCTGTTGACAAACCTTGCCTAACATACATTCATCTGAACATGACCTTTTCTCACCCTGGCGCAGTGAAAAGCTAATCCCAGTCCAGAATCAGTCCAGAGTCACGACTTACTCTTTCCTCCCCGCATGCCCTCTCTTTGTCTTGACTTACTGCACTAGCTAGGCCTTCTAGCACAATGTGAAAAGAAGTCCTGGAGCCGTGAAAAGCTAATCCCAGTCCAGAATCAGTCCAGGGTCACGACTTACTCTTTCCTCCCCGCATGCCCTCTATTTGTCTTGACTTATGCACTAGCTAGGCCTTCTAGCACAATGTGAAAAGAAGTGGTGAGAGTGGGTGTCCTTGTCTCAGTCCACATGTCAAAGGAAAAGTTTCAGTAATTCACCATCAGGGCTCTTTGCTGTGGGTTGTTTGTAGATGTTCCGTATTATCACATTAAGGAAGTTCCCTTCTATTCCTCGTATAGGAGTTGAGTTATAAAAAGGTGCAGAATTTTATGAAACACTTTTTCTGCTTCTGTTGAGATAAGTGGTGGGTCTCCTTTTCCCTGTTAGTATGCTGAATGATATGGTTGGTTTTTTAATGTTAACCACTCTTGCGTTCCTAGAATAAACCCTACTTGGTCTTGACCCAGTATGCTTTTTATACATGTCTGGATTCTCTCTGCTAATATTTTGCAACTGCTTTGAGAGAGATTAGCCTATAAATTTCCTTTTTTGTAATGTCATTGCCAGGTTCTGCTATCAAGGTTATGCTGGCCTCATAATAAGAACTGGGAATTGCTAATATTTTGCAACTGTTATGAGAGAGATTAGCCTATAAATTTCCTTTTTTTGTAATGTCATTGCCAGCTTCTGGTATCAAGGTTATGCTGGCCTCATAATAAGAACTGGGAAGTGATCATCAATATTGATAAACTATTGACTTCCCAAACCCAACCCTCTATCTCTGCTAGAATTCCCTCTCCCACATTCCTACCATGTAGCCCATTAGTAGCAAGGAGCTAACTTCCTCCCAAGCCAGCCTGTTTCTTCTCTTTAGAGAAGTTCTTTAGACTAGAATGGTCTTCCTAATATTGTGCTAAAATTCATCTCTTCTTAATAAGTAGTTGTGCCCCCCGGGCCCCTCGGTAGCCCTTGATATCTGAAGATTGCCCAAAGATACCCCCTCTCTTCTCGGGGGTGAACAGCCCCAGCCCCTGTCTTCACGTAGCACCCACAGTTGGGATGGGTGGGGAGGGGAGATATCTGGGGGGTAGGTAGAGCTCCCCTTTGTGCAAGGGTGTCTCCCTCCTCTACCCTCCACTCCAGGAGACCCCGACCTCTTCTCTCCCTGTCCAGTGTTATAAAAGCTCGAAGGACCGGCAGCCACATCTGAGGCTGGCACTGGATGCCTGCACTGTCATCTACGTGCCCAAGGACAGCCGGCACAAGAGGCATGAGCTGCGCTTCTCCCAGGGGGCTACGGAGATCTTGGTGCTCGCACTGCAGAGCCGGGAGCAGGCCGAGGAGTGGCTGAAGGTACAGGGAGCTGTGCCCCCCTTCCACCTGCCCTCCCTGCCCTCCCTTCCTCCCTCTCTTTCCCAGGACCAGCTCTCAGTGGGGTGGGTCCCTGTCCCTGGAAGAGCAGGCTTTGCTCCAGGGAGGGGGCCGATGCCTGTGCATGGCTAGGGCTTCTGTGTGGAAATGGGCCTCGGGCATCTCCAGGAGACAGACCTTAGGCTGGAGGCCTGTGTTCTTTCTCATCATCTGAATCACCACCCTCACGTCCCTACTGAGGGCTCGTCCAGCCTGCACTGAGGCACCTCCTGGAATGGGGAGCTTAATATCTACGGAGGAAGCTGATCTGACCACTAGATAAGCTAATCCTTTTTTTCTTTTAAAAAAGGAAAATTCCATCCTTGTCTTAGGTGAAATGTGGATCCTTGAAACGTCCACTGTGGCCCAGCTTCTGCATCTTGCAGCTGCACAGAACCATTAGAGTTAGCATGTCCTGGGCGCGTACTGTGTGCCATCTGTTGTTCTAAGAGCTTTACACACACGACCGCATTTACTCTTTGCAATGGAACTATTACTGTTTCCATTTTACAGATGAGGAAACGGAAGCACAGAGAAATTATGTGACTTGCCAAAGACCACACAGCCAAGTGGTGGGGCCAGGATTAGAAGCTAACAGGGAAATCTACACCAAAGGCCATGGGTAGGGTGGCATAGTGACGATGAGGGAGGCCTTGGGTGACACACAAACCTGAGTTCAAGTCCCAGGCCTAAGTGGCTGTGTGACCTGCAGGTGACTTCGCCTCTGTTTCCTCCTCTGATTAATGGTTCTTGTAAGAATTCTAGAGAGCATTTGACATAGTATCTGCCAGGCGGTACGTGCTCAGTAATTATCAGTGATTACTGTGCCACGATGATGAAGGCGGCACCCCCAGTCCCTTTCACGGGGCCCTCCAACCCTGCACCCTCCCTCCATTTCACTCTGACACCTTTTTCTCTCCAACTGTGATCTTCCTGCTGGAACAAAGAAACCAAACCCCTCCCTCCCCATTCTCCCTTCCTTCCTGTGATAACCAGCTCTCCCCCCTCCCCCCACCCCCTCCATGTTTAGTGTTTCTCTTTACTGCCTTTGTCTCGGGAAGGAAAGGAGGGGAGAACCTGACTGCTAGTGGAGCCTCTGCCCTCAAAGGGCAGGTGGGTCAGAGAAAGAAGCCCTAGACTGGGAGTTAAGAGGCCTGTCTTAACATCCGGTTTGGGAGGCCACTGGCCCAGAGGTTAAGGGCAGGCAACCGTGGCTCTGCCTCATGGCGCCCCATCATCCTAATCAGTAACTTAGAGAACACAGTGGTCCCTCCCCCACAGGGCTGCTGCGGGGATACAATGGGCTATTCCATGCAAAGTCACCTGACTTTGTAAACCACAAATGATGACCTGTGTTACATGATCTGGATGCTTATGCTGGGTGACCTTGGATGAGGAGGCAAATGCCTTGGCGTCTGGAGTGTCCATATCTTTGAAATAGAAACAATAACCCTGGCTGCCCCCCAGGCTGTTGTAAATGTCCAACACGGTCAACAGAAGTGAGTCTCTCACCCTTGTGCAGGGCAGCCCAGTTCACGTGGCCCTACACACCCGTCATCTCGCTGGTCCTCAGACAACATAATGAAGTTATAACCCATGTTACAGATGGAGAAACTGAGGCTCAGACAAGTGGCTTTCTCAAGGCCACACACTCATTAGCAATGGAGCAAGGTCTAGAAGCCAAGCCTCTTGGTTCCCAGCCCCATACCTTTTCAACTCGAGGGACAGATACAGGAGAAAGCTTTAAACCCTGATGTGCCCACACATGTGGCAGGAAGCTGCATCAACCTGTCTCTTCTGTCCAGTGGTCCCAACCTCTCTGCTCAGTAGCCCTGGCCACACAGACCCCATTCTTCCTTTTGCTTCCACAGCATCCCTGCCCACCTGCTCATAGCTGTGTGTCCTCCCCACAGGTCATCCGAGAGGTGAGCAAGCCCATCACAGGGGCCGAGGGGGCAGACATGCCCAGATCCCCAGTCCTCCTGTGCAAACTGGACCTGGACAAGGTACAGCTGTCTCCACGAGTTTCCTCTGGGCCAGGCAGTGGGGGCTCGGCACAGGCTCTTCCCGGGGGGCTGGGGGGGACGACACTTGGGCTGGTGGTGAAGCAGGCACCCACAGTGGTGTCACACAAGCCAGGAGTGCCCAGTACAGAGCTGGCCCCACAGTAAGCACTTGATAAATTTCTAACCAATGAGTGAATGCCTATATCCAAGGTGCAGCACAAGCCAGAGGACGGAGTGACTAACTCTGCCAGGACAGGAGTGGTTACATGTGAATGGAGGAGCCATGACAAAATTGTATTTGTCTGTCAGAGTGTGCCCCATTGAGACGTGAGTGAAGCACTCACTTAGTAGTTGGTCAGACCATTGGAAAAAAATGTGCTATTGTCTATTCTCTGCCCAGTACTCTGGGTGATAAAGGGACTCAGCCCCATATCCTAGGGGAAGGTTTAAGACCCACATACAAGGGTCTGACATGATGTAATACAGGCTAGCAGTTATAGAATGTGACTGTGGAGCCGGCATTGTTCTAAATGCTTTGCATGTATTATCCAATTTAATTTCTACTACAACTCTTGGATGAGTTACACTTTCAGATAGGGAGCCTGTACCCAGTAGGCACTTAATTGACCTGTCATGACTTTTTAAAATGCCAATTCATCTATTTTTCTCCATCCTCACTGTCATCTTGGTTCATCCTGTTACCCAGTCTCACCTTGCCCAGGATGACACACTCTTAAGTAGCTCTTCAGCTTCCAGTCTTGCTCCCTCTTATCACATCCCCCATGATGCCACTGGAGCCAACTTGCTAATCTGGTTGCATTACCAGTACATTAGTCTCCCACTTAAATATCTTCCCAGATCTTCGTCACCTGGTCCAAACTCCTAGGACATGTATCTCAATGTGTTATCATTAGTTGCCTTGCTCCTCAAATAGACTGTGAGAATCTCAAAGATACAACTATTCTAAGTCATCATGGTCCACCCCCATACCTGGTATGGCATCAAGTACATAACTGTTGCTGACCAGTATTTGTTAGCTAATCCTCCTGAGCTGGAGTCTGGGGGAGACTGAACCAACAAGGGACCCTCTGATGTGGGGCTGTCTGTGTCCTTCTCCAGAGGTTATCCCAAGAGAAGCAGACCTCAGACTCCGACAGCCTGGGCATGAGCGATAACTGTTCCACCCTTGGCCGCAGAGAGGCCGGCGAACACGGTAGGAGCCTGTGGGGGATCAGGTGGGGATGCCAGAGCCGGGAGGGGGAGGGGGCTTGCCACACGCACGCAGTGCAGAGCAGGTCCTGACCACTCTGGAGACCTGGGTGAGGTGACCTGGCCTGCCCACATCTGGAGCTGTGGGCGAGGCCTCTGGGAAGGTGAGGGGTGGGTAGACCTGGGTCACGGGTCTCCCTCCCCTCCCCTGACCCATCTCTGCAGCAACAGGCAAAGGGAAGAAGAGCAGCCTGGCAGAGCTGAAGGGTTCGATGAGCAGGGCTGCAGGCCGCAAGATCACCCGCATCATCAGCTTCTCCAAGAGGAAGGCGCTGGCCGATGACCTGCAGATGTCCTCCACCGAAGAGGCGGTTCCGTGCTGTGGTGGGTCCTGGGCATACTAGGCATTCACTGGAGAATTCAGACCCAGTTGACCGGGCCCCTGGGGCCAAGCCAAGAGACCCTCCAGGTTTCATCCACCTTGCCCCCAGGACAGAGGAGAGAATCCTGCCACTGGATAGCTAACCCCCACCCCATCGGTTTTCCATGTCCTCCCATCTCTACTCTCCCATGAGAACCTGACACTCAGCAGAAGGAAAAGCCAACTGACTCCCATATTTCTGTGACCTTAATTCCAGTTATTACCTGTCTCTAGGTCTCAGACTATGATGAGAGGAGAGTATCTTATTTCCCAGCATATAACATACGAGGTGTATAAAAAAATATTTAAGTACTTTTCATTATAAATGCATTCAGTGTGAGTTAAAAGTGGTTTGAGAGGGAAAGCTTATTATTCTGCTCATTTAAATGCAGTGTTCCATGTGCTGGAATTCAATTTAAAAAATCATATATTTTAGATATACAATAATATTCTAACCCTGGAAGAATAGTATAAAGGCGCCTGGCTATACAGAAATATTTTGTAAGCAGAGGGATTTCTAAACCCATGGGTCACAGGACTGAACCGCCCTCATTTTATAATTCTTTATCTTGGTTAGATGCTTTTACTCCCACATGCTGCCACCAGGGGTCAGCATGATCCATTATTTTAGGGAGAAGAAAGGCAAGAGGGAGAGTTGTGCCTCTTGTTCATTGTATATAGCAGTCCCTGCCCTTTTTGTCAAGCTTGGGGTGGTCCAAAGGCTGTGCGGAGAAGTGCAGATATGATTAGCAGTCCCCATTTCGCAGACAGGAAACTGAAACTCAGAAAGAGAAGAGGATGCCCGAGATCACAGGCCAGGAGAGAGCTGATCGGAAGGCCTTCTTCTAGCTAGAGAACAAGGGCTGTCCAGGCGCTGTGGCCCTGGGCACCCTCCACCACACTGCGCTCTCCCCTCCCAGGCTACCTGAATGTGATGGTGAACCACGGCTGGAAGGAACGCTGGTGCCGCCTGAAGTGCAACACTCTGTATTTCCACAAGGAACGCACAGACCTCCGGACCCACGTGAATGCCATTGCCCTCGGGGGCTGTGAGGTGGCCCCGGGCTTTGGGCCCAGACACCCATTTGCCTTCAGGATCCTGCGCAACCGGCAGGAGGTGGCCATCCTGGAGGTGAGAGAAGAGAGTCCAGAGGCCCCTGGTGGTGGGAGTAAAGGGAGCGATGGCCTGGGTGCTGGCTTTTGTCTTGGGGCCTCTCTTCTTTGTGTCAATCTTTTGGCTATTTAGGTTTTATAATGTTAACCCTGGAGGAAAATGTTAACAATTACCCTCTCGCGTTACAGATAAGGAAACTGAGGCCAGGGCAGCCAAGTGCTTTGTCCAAGGCTCCACAGAGGGTCAGTGGCCTCTTGGTCTCATCCTAGAACTAAAACCAGCCCCTTGGTCTTGTTTTCTTTGCCCAGTGCCCACTGCCTCTCTCGGTTCTTAAGTTCAAGAAATATTACTTCAGTAACTCACTTTTATTTTTGATAGTTTAAGATGGGTCTCTTATTCCTCTTAAATTATACACAGAGCTCTCTGGCAAAAAGCGTACTTTCTTCATTCAAGTGTAGCATGTATGGGCTAAGTTGATTTTATAATAATGCTCTTTCAATGAAAACTAACATAAGCATGCATTTAGTTGACCAGCAATTTCTTGCCGATCTTCCTGTAAATAATTGGCGATTATGATACAAGAAATAATATGATTGGGTTATGTAAGAAATAGCTTCCTCTAATGAAAAGTAAGTATTTTTTAAGAAGATTCAGGAAGACTCAAACGTTCTCATATCTAAATGGTCAGGAGGGCTCTGAGGATAATGAGCAGAGACCTGAACTGAGGGGGGGGGGGCGCTATTTGGATTCCTGGATGAGTTCTAACCTTGTTCTTCTTGGATCCCCAAGTTTTGGGTACATAACAGGTACTGTATAAATATGGGGTTGAGTGACGTGAGCAGCAGCCAACGTGAACTCAGCTTTGCCTCCGCTCCTTCAGGCAAGCTGCTCAGAGGACATGGGCCGCTGGCTGGGGCTGCTGCTGGTGGAGATGGGCTCCAAAGTCACTCCCGAGGCCCTGCACTACGACTATGTGGACGTGGAGACCTTGACCAGCATCGTCAGCGCCGGGCGCAACTCCTTCCTGTAAGAGCCGGCACCCCACAGCCCACAGCCGCCCAGGACCTTTCCCGTCTTGGCTCCCTCTCAGAGGCTCAGAATCCAGCCCTGGGCACTGGGCTCTGTTCCCTTGGGAAGTCAGAGTGGGTGTGTTCTTCTTCCAGCAGCAGGAGTGAGCGGGCTAAAGGAGGCGGCCCAGGGTCGGGGGAAGCCTTGGATGGAGTGAGCAAAAGTGGAGAAGTCCTTTTCTATAGTGACACGGGCTCTGCTCGCATGCTGGAACCTTAGGCTCTCACACCCTCAAGCCTCTGGGCGGGCACGGGGCTGCTACGTGGAGTTTGGTGCTAGAGGAGCTAGGCTCGCATCTCAGCTCTATCACAATCATCAGCTCGGCTGGTTTCTTGCCGGTCTCAGTCCTCTGTTTTCTCGCTTATATAATGGAGGCGATGCATTACTTGTTTCCTGGGTGATGAGAAGCACGTGGGTCCCTGCCTAGAAAGCCCTGAACACAGCAATGGCCCAGTGCTGCCTGGGATGGTTGTATCACTAACCTTCCAGTACCCACTATGAGCTGCTGCCAGAATCAACTGAGAGAGGGGACGGGAAAGCACGGGAAGCTGCAGGGTGCCGTCACAGCAGACCTTGTATCTTCTAGATATGCAAGATCCTGCCAGGATCAGTGGCCTGAGCCCCGTGTCTACGACGATGTCCCTTACGAAAAGATGCAGGTACGATCCCTTGGGGCTGCCCAGCAACATGGCAAAGGCCACTTCTTAGCTCTCCCTCTCTCTTTCCCTCACTGCAGTCGTGCGCCGCGTAGTGTCAGGGATACATCCTGAGAAATGCGTCCTTAGGCAATTTCGACCTTGTGCGAACATCATAGAGTGAACTTATCACAAACCTGGATGGTACAGCTACACTCCTAGGCTACATGGTACAGCCTACTATTCCTAGGCTACAAGTCTGTACAGCATGTTACTGTACAAAACAACATGAAATCAGTGAAGCACAAGAGAAAATGATGCAATCGAGAGACAGCAAACACAAGATGTATGAGGCTGCTTGCTGCAGGTGTAACACGGTATACCGTTTTACAGCACACTTTTTTATAAGTAGGAAGAGTACACCCTAAAATAACATTTAAAACTATAATAAATTTTTTTAAGTATAGTAAATACATAAACAAGTGCCATAGTTATTTGTTATCATCAAGTACTATGTGCTGTACATAACTGTACATGCTATACCTTTTTTTTTTTTTGGTTAATCCTCACCCGAGGATATTTTTCCATTGATCCTTTAGAGCAGCGGTTCTCAACCTGTGGGTCGCGACCCCTTTGGGGGTCGAACGACCCTTTCACAGGGGTCACCTAAGACCATCAGAAAACACATATATAATTACATATTGTTTTTGTGATTAATCACTATGCTTTAATTATGTTCAATTTGTAACAATGAAATTGGGGGTCACCACAACATGAGGGGTCGCGGCTTTAGGAAGGTTGAGAACCACTGCTTTAGAGAGAGTGGAAGAGAGAGGGAAAGATAGAGAGAAACATCGATGTGAGAGAAACGCATTGATTGGCTGCCTCCTGCATGTGCCCTGGGGAGGTGCCTACATCCAAGGTAGGTGCCCTTGCCTGAACTTGAACCCGGGACCCTTTGGTCCACAGGCCGACTGCTCTATCCACTGAGCCAAACCGGCTAGGGCTGTGCTATACTTTTATAAGACTGGCAGCACAGTAGGTTTCTTTATACCAGCATCACCACAAACACTGAGCAATGCATTACAATGTTAGGACGGCTATGATGTCACTGGGCAATAGTAATTTTTCAGCTCCATTATCATCTTACGGGACCACCATTGTATATGCTTCGACAGAAACATCATCATGCAGCACATGATGGTACTCCTTTTTTCCTTTGCCTCAGAGAGATTTTTTTCATTTAACCAGCAGCTGGAAGGGGAGGGATGAGGCGCAGGATGAGGAATCCCTGGAAAGGAGGCTGGGTGGTACAGTGAAAAGCTCCCAGATCAAGACAAGGAAGGGCTCTGGACACTGGAAAGCACGATTCCAGTTTGAGCCAGGTGTTGGGCTCTCCGCCTTTTAACACTCTGTGAACTAAGGCTGCTGATTCAGTGGTGTCTGGAGGCAAAGGCAATAACTGGGTGGCCACACCTGTAGGCTTTCACCTGGTGGCATCCACAGTCTGGGTTTCAGCTCCCAGGACCAAGTCTCCTGTCTTGCTCACTAAACCGAGGAGATATCAGCTCATTAATTACAGTGAGGCCTCTGTGGCCATCACACAACCCAGACTGCTCCTGCTGTGGAGCAGCCTCCATAGAGAGCCAGAAACCTACATTCTGATCAGATGCTGGCGGTGAGTCAGGCCCCACAGCGAGGGGAGAGGGGGGAACCAAGCTGCCAAGGAAAGCAGGCGCGCATCGGGACCCCTGCCTTGGGCAGTGCTAGGTCACACTCTGAGGTCACACCTCTAGGACTCCCTTTGCATGGTCTTTCTGACACAGATGAACCAATGGATGCAGCCTGAGATCTTTCTCAGTTGCAGAGTTTAGGAGCAAGAGCTTAATACTTAAAGGAGCAAACTTTGGACTCGGGGCTCAGTCTGAGTTACCTTGGGCTTCACTTCTCTGGTCTTCACTTCTGGGCTTCACACGGATATGATAAAACCTAACTGTCTGGACTATTGCAAGAGCTAATTGAAATATTTTAAGGAAAGAACTTAGCACAGGGCCTGGACAGGAAGTTCTTACACAGAAAAGTAAACCGCACTGCTGTTACTGAAATCACTATTATATTACACTAGAGGCCCAATGCATGAAACTCGTGCAAGAGTAGGCCTTCGCCCGCGGCTGACTCAATCCCACAGCTGCAGCCCCAGCTTCATCCCAGAAGGACATCCAGAAGGACGTCCAGTCTAATTAGCATATTACGCTTTTATTATTATAGATTATTATCATATTCCACTCGTGGTTCCTGAGCTTTGACAGATTCTGAGTGTTCTTAATACTCTTCATGCACAAATGTATAGTCAATCTATATAACTTCTATCATTGGCGGATGTCATCCATGACTTTTTTTTAACAATTCAGAAAACTTTAACGATACTTTGAAATAAGAAGAGGACAAAATATCTATGATAAATCAAATATGTCACCCATAATCTTTTCAGACTTAATTTTCCTCTCTGCACATATTCCAATTTAGGGCTATCTTCTGCTGCCCCACCCCACAGAATGGTAGGAGGATCCAATAATATACTGCTAGTGAAGGTGGTTTATAAACTGTTGAGTGCCACACAAGTTTAAAAATGTAAAGCCAAGATCTCAGAGGTCCCGTGGCACTCACCCACCGAGCACGGACCAGAATACACCCGTGTTGATGACTCTGGGCCTACCTGTACTTCATCTTCTTCCTCCATCTCCCTCCCAGGATGAGGAGCCTGAACGTCCCACCGGTGCCCACGTGAAGCGCCACGCCTCCTCCTGCAGTGAGAAGTCCCATCGAGTGGATCCGCAGGTCAAAGTCAAGCGCCATGCCTCCAGTGAGTTCTGTGGGGGAGGGGAAAGGGTGAGGAGCAGCCCATGAGTGGAGGGAGTCTCAAAATCATTTTCCTCCAGGGATCAGGCAGGTAAATAAATGAGTGAATTGAGGTGTAAGAAAATACTCTACCATAAGAAAAACCACATCATAAGTACAGTGATGAAGGGCAGCTTGCATGTGGCCTCAGAGGAGAAACAACAAGGAGTGGGGTAGGAGAGACTGTAGGAAACTGGAGTGCTCTGGAGTGGCCGCTAAGCTCCAGCCGATGGCCCCCACACAGCAGTGCCAATTATTCAAGAGAGACCAGAAATCTAGACTTTATATGAAATCTATATACGCATAAAGAAAGTACTAAAAAGAGAGGAGAGAAAGAAGTGTAAATACACACACACACACACACACACACACACATATATATATTAAAAGAAATAATGGCTGAAAACTTGCCAAGTTTATTGATAAACATTATTGATATATCCAGGGTACCAGTGAAGTCCAAGTAAAATAAAAGCAAAGAGATCCACAAAGGACACATCATGGTCAAAATGCTAAAGCCAAAAGGAGAAAACCCTTGAAAGTAGAAGAGAAATCTTTTGTCACTTACAAAGGATCCCCAATAAGATTAACAGCTGATGTATCAGAAACAACAGAGGCTTTCCTCTTTTTAAAAAAAAATATATTTTATTGATTTTTTACAGAGAGGAAGGGAGAGGGGTAGAGAGTTAGAAACATCGATGAGAGAGAAACATTGGTCAGCTGCCCCCTGCACACCTCCTACTGGGGATGTGCCCGCAACCAAGGTACATGCCCTTGACTGGAATCGAACTTGGGACCCTTCAGTCCGCAGGCCGACGCTCTATTCACTGAGCCAAACCGGTCAGGGCTAAGGCTTTCCTCTTAAGATCACCTGCGCCCAGCCGGGTGTGGCTCAGTGGTTGAGCATCGACCCAGGAACCAGGATGTCACTGGGTTCAATTCTTGGTCAGGGCACATGCCTGGGTTGCAGACTCAGTCCCCAGTAGGGACATGCAGAAGGCAGTCAATCGATGATCCTCTCTCATCATTGATGTTTCTATCTCTCTCTCCCTCTCCCTCTCCCTCTCTGAAATCAATAAAAATATATTTAATTTTTTTTTTAAAAAATCACCTGGAATACTATTCAGCAATAAAAAGGAAAGAAGCACTGATACATACTACATTAGTGCATTAGTTACACTAGTAACTTGGATATTAAACATTCCTTATTTTCCCCTCCACTATGGAAGCCCGGATTTTTCTGAAAGATACTTGGGCAGTTCTGAGGCAAATACTTTATCACCACTACTAGGAGGCCCACAGAATTATAGCTCCTTGCAACAAGCTAGTTTGCTTCTTCACCACCATTTGAGTGACTCAAGGATTACAGAGTTGGGCGTGAGATACGCTATTCTCCCTGGTGTCAACATAGTAAGGCAAACCAGGACAGTGACTCCCAAGAGTGAGTCCACTCACTGGTTCAGACCCTAAGGAAGTTTTCCCTCATCTGCAATTGAAATGATAAAAATAAGCACAGTGAGGGACGTTTTTCATAAATCTAAATCTATTCCATGTAAATGACTACTTTATTCTGCATTTGTGTTCTCCCAACTCTGGGGATGTTACAATATTATTTATTTTATAAAATGTTTGGAATAATTAGATGGTAGTTGGGATTTTTAAGGGCCTTTTCTGTTATGTCAACAACCTTTGTTGGTCTACCCATTTTCTTGATTTTACCAGTCTATAAAATTCAAAAGTCTGGGAGCCAGCTCCCCTGATATACCATTGTATATCTGGAAAGTTGGAGGAAGTAGGGGTCCCCTTCTCTGCCCTCCATGCTTTATTTACGATCTGGTTTGACTTGCAGGGTAGTTGTGGCAGGAACTGATTTTTGCATGAGTCATTGGGCAATCACTGCAATCTCTACAAGAACTGGACAGACAAGACCCACACAATTATCAGTAAATCATGGGAATCACTCCACACTCCACCAACTTACAAAGGACCTTGTGTGGCTGACTGTAGCAACAACATACTAGTACATAAACTTTCCCTGAGAGGTTTGACTATGGCCTTGCCCCAGCTAGAGCAGTATTACCTGGCATGGACCCTGGAGTTAGGTGTACATGGGTTCAAACCTAGGTTCTGCCATCATTAACAGTAAGATCTAACCTCTCTGTGCCTGTTTCCTCAACAATAAAATAGAGCTAGTAATAGTCAGTTGGGTTTTTTTGTTTGTTTGTTTTTTGGGTTTTTTTTAAATATACTTTATTGATTTTTCACAGAGAGGAAGGGAGAGGGATAGAGAGTTAGAAACATCGATGAGAGAGGAACATCGATCAGCTGCCTCCTGCACACCTCCTACTGGGGATGTGCCCGCAACCAAGGTACATGCCCTTGGCCGGAATCAAACCTGGGACCTTTCAGTCCACAGGCTGACGCTCTATCCACTGAGCCAAACCGGTTAGGGCAATAGTCAGTTTTTATGAGAAGGAAATGGAAATGCATGTAAGTGGCCCAGTACTTAGTAAATACTCAATAAACTTTTGCTATATTTATTTGTTTTTATATTTTTTAATTTATTTCAGAGAGGAAGGGAGAGGGAGAGAGAGATAGAAACATCAATGATGAAAGAATCATTGATCGGCTGCCTTCTGCACGCCCCCTATTGGGGATCTAGCCCACAAACTCAGCATGTGCCCTGACAGGGAATTAAACTGTGATCTCCCAGTTCATAGGTCAACACTCAACCACTGAGCCATGCAACCGAGCTATTTGTTGTTTTTGTCCATCATCATAGTGTAGAGCCCATAGTAGACTACTAGATCCCTCTCTACCCCCACCCATTTCCTAGTAATAAAATGGGCAATGCCTGACTTTAGCCCAAGGTCTTGATTCTCTATGGATCAGAGTTATATCTACCAGTCTCCTTGTCTTACACATACTTGAGAGTTGACTATAAAATATGCCCTTTTAAAACCAAAGTGTGTTATACATCACAAAATTTGTTTTACATTATTATTATTATTATTATTATTATTTAACCTTTACTAAGCACTTATTATATGACAGGTACTACACTAAGTACTTTTCATGAATTATCTCATTTTAAACCTACCACAATGCTAAGAGATAAATTTGATCAATATCCACATTTACAAATGAGGAAACTATAGCTGAGGGAAAGACACAAAAACATCACTATTCTCTTTTGCCTGATGTCACACAACCAATAAAGGGCAAAAGAGAATGCAAACCTTTGTCTGGTTCCAAATCCCTTGCTCCTTGCCCCTGAGCTCTACTACCTCCCTTTTGCTCCTTGCTTCCTTAGAGCAGCCACATTAATGATATCGAGGGTTATCGCTCTAAATGTCCCCATTTTTATAGATGGAGAAGTGGAGGCTGAAAGAGACGCTAACACCACCCAAATGCCCTCTCAGAGGTTAGAACTGAGGCCCTTTTCCTGCCTCCTAACTCTGCAGGTGCCAATCAATACAAGTACGGTAAGAACCGAGCTGAGGAGGATGCCCGGAGGTACCTGGTAGAAAAAGAGAAGCTGGAGAAAGAAAAAGAGACAATCCGGACAGAGCTGATGGCACTGCGGCAAGAAAAGAGGGCGCTAAAGGATGCCATTCGGAACAATCCAGGTACCTACATGGTGTGGTCCTGAGTGCTCTTGGAGGGCTTGGCCTTTCCCTAGAACAGATCACCTGGTTTCTTACCCAAGACAGGTGAGCTTCTCCCTCCTTCCTCCTTTTCATCACCATCATCGCTACCACCACTACCGCCGCCACCACCACCATCATCATCCTCCTGACTAATGGAAGGCCACCTATTTGATAACTGCTTTGGGGGTAAAGGGATAAAAAAGCATCACAAAAATGTGTACACTTAATGTAAGATGCAATCTGATTTTAGAAACGTTAAAATGTGAAAAACAGCATGTCCCTTAGAATTAGAGAAATAAAAGATCATTTTGAACCTCACATTAACTCATTCATTCACAGATGGGTGCTGAGCATGGCTATTTGAGCATAGGTCCAGGTGCTGGGGATGATGGACAGCACCTAGTACATAGCGAGCATGCAATATGTATTTACTGAATGAACAACTGAATGAATGAAAAGAACCCACCATTACTAGAAAACCCTCCAGTGCAGCCTCCCTCAGGGAAAACATGGACCAATTTTTAAACCTAGTAAGGCCCAACATAGATAGCTCTTCGTACCAAGAAGGCTCTAATATAGATATGTTGGGTTAAACTGAGTAAGCAGCAAAATCCTAGTAGAAACCCCTGGTTAATGTAAAGCTCTATGACTTTTGGTTACAAGGAACAGAAACCAAAGTTAAACTGGCGTAGTAATGAAAAAAAGAAAAATGCACTTGAAAAACTGAACAGTCAGGTATATCAAGGTCAAAGGACTTAAATGATGTCACCAGGAAGTACATTTCTCCAACTCTTGCTTTGGCCTTCCTCTACATTGGTTTCATTCTCTCCAGCCCTCACCTAATCCTCTCAGCCACCCCAGCAGAGAAAACTTCTCTTCCTAGTGGCCCCCACAAACACTTCACTCTGACCAACTTTGATCCCTAAGCCAATCACTGTGACCCTGATTGAGATAGGATTATGGGCCAGGATTAAGTTATGTGCCAACCCCTTGAACTAGGATTGAGTAACACCCATCTAAACTATCCTATATAATAAAACCTTAATATGAAAATAGACCGAACGGTGGAATGACGGGTCTGTATGACGTGTACTAACCACCAGGGGGCAGATGCTCAACGCAGGAGCTGCCCCCGATGGTCAGTGTGCTCCCATAGGGGGAGCGCCGCTCAGCCAGAAGCCGGGCTCATGGCCTCTCCCGCCACCTCCGCTGCAGGCAGGTAGTAAGGAGCGAGGGGTCCTGGAGTGCGAGAGCCCCAGACTGTGAGAGGGATATCTGACTGCCAGCTTCGGCTCGGTCCCGGCAGGCAAACATCCCCCGAGTGTCCCGGACTGCGAGAGGGCACAGGCCAGGCTGAGGGACCCCCCAAGTGCACGAATTTTGTGCACTGGGCCTCTAGTAAATAATAATGAAGGAAATGTGGTTTCCCAGGGGGAAAAGCCGGGTTCTGTATCTAGAAGATGGGGAAATGGGTATTGGGAAGGTAAAAAACACACTACCCCAGGCCCAAAGTCCACCTCTTAACCAGGACTGAGGATAGGAAAGGTTCTCTGGAGGGGCAGACTCGGGCCTGAGGCCCTGCCAAACTGCTCGATGCTTCAGGCCAGGCTCAGCTGTTTCTCATCAATGTCTTTGGAAACAGGAGCAAAGTTAAAGGTTCTGCAGGAGGCCGTGGCCACACTGGAAGCTCAGTGTCGGGCGAAGGAAGAGCACCGGATCGACCTGGAACTGAAGCTGGTGGCTGTGAAGGAGCGCTTACAGAGGTCTCTGGCAGGGGGCCCAGCCCTGGGACTCTCCATAGGCAGCAAGAACAAGAGTGCGGTGAGTCCACTCCCTACTAACCAGGGGTAGCTGCTCCTAAAGCCCTCACATGCTACAGATCTTGCTCATCCTTTGGGGCTAGGAGTTATGCTCACTTACAGATAACAAAGGAGGCCCTAAGGGACATGCCATTGGTGGCACAGCTAGGAAGGGGACTCTCGCAGCAAGTTCTCTGGCCTGTGTTCTCTCCACTGACGCACCGTCATTTATTTGACTTTGTATCCTGAATGCAGTCTTAGAAGTGGACTTAAGGTTACTGATAATAACTACCATACATTGAATAGGAATAACAAACTTGTGTTAGCCAATTACCACACCATCTTAACCTGTATTATCTCACATAGTCTTCACAGCAGTCCTATGAGATAGTACTACGCGTATTCACCCCATTTGACAGACAAGGAAACTGGGATTTCTATTAAGAATTGGACTGTATGGCCCAGCTGGCGTGGCTCAGTGATTGGGCATCGACCTATGAACCAGGTCACAGTTCCATTCCAGGTCAGGCGCATGCTTGGGTTACAGGCTCAAGCCCCAGTAGGGGCATGCAGGAGGCAGCCAATCAATGATTCTCATCATTGATGTTTCTATCTCTCCCTTCCAATCTGAAGTCAATTTTTAAAAAATATTAAAAATAAAATAAAAAGAATTGGACTGTATTTTTTTTATCATAATAGCCCTATCCCTTTACATACTCTGAAAAATAGTAGGCGTGTAATAAATGTTTCAAATGAATAAATGTTCTACTTGCTTTCAGACAAGGAAATTAAGACTCAGAGAAATGAAGTAATTTGTCTGATAAGTGCAAGTTATCATTGAGAACTTTCATCTTATTATTGTCCAAGATAACAGCTGCCTGGTCAGACCACACCCTATGACTAGGAAGTTAGGGCTGTTTCTCCCACCCTACATTTCCTCTCCATGGGGCATTTCCAACCTTACTTAAAAATTAAGAGCTTAGGAGGATTTCCAGAAGATGACGGCGTAGGTAGACGCCTATACTCACCGCCTCCACAACCACATCAAAATTACAACTAAAATACTGAACCACCATCATCCAGAATTGCTGGAAAGCTGGCTGAATGGAAGTCCTACAACTAGAGAAGAAGAAAGCACACTGAGACTCGTAGGAGGTGCAGAGGCATAGAACGGGCTGGTCCGGCACCCACATGTGCTGCTTTTTTAATCAGGAGGGAGATCACCTCTGTGGAGGCCGCCCAGAGGAGCAGGGGTCCCAACCCCACACCAGAACCCTAGCCCAGGGTCTCAGAGCTGGGAAAAGAAGTCCCTACAGGCAGTAAGAAATACAGGCTGTAAAAACCAGTGCAGATTGGGGCTCAGTAACACAGAGGCTGCTGGAGACCCAGCTATTCCTCTTAAAAGGCCAGCACCAGGAACTGAACTTACAAGGTCCTGCTTCCTCTGAGCTCCAGTACCAGGGCGAGGCTCTGGGGAACACAGACACATATGAGGAGGAACTGGATTGTCTGGCTTCATGGCAGGAACTCAGGGGCGGCTTTCCCCTAGATGGAGGTGCTCACAGGGATCACTGTTCCTATGCTGGGACCTCCCCAGTAGATCCCAGGGCTGACTGGCACCATGTCTGTTTGCTCTGCCCTGGTGATTCCCTAAGACCCTGCCTCATCCAATTTAAAATCCCACCCAATCTGTGTGCAGCAGGTTTTGCATATGAATGGCCTGTCCTTGTTCAGGCTAAATTCTCTCAAACAAGCTAGAGCTGGGTCAGGGAGCACCAAACCTATCAATAAAAGGCCCAAGACCCAGCACCAGCACCAGCCTGACTTGCTTCACAGCTGGGCCTTGTCTGGGCACTTCCAAACCCAATACAAAGAGGAGGAATCTACAGATCTCTCTGTACCTCCTGCTGGGTGGCCCCAGGCAGTGGCTGACTTTGCACCTCCCTAGAGACTCAAAAGCCAGTGCACCTAGTGGTCACTGTCAGACCATACCACATTACAACTCTACACATCCATAAGCAACACACTCAAGGGGCAGACTCAGTGAGCAACAAAGCCCCACTGAAGCAAGTCCTGCTCCATAGAGGTGTCTCCTGCACAGCAGCTCTCCCACTGTGGTTGCAGCTGGTCCTCACAGTCAATTGGCCTGGAGATCAGTTCCTCCCAGTGATACTAACAGCAATCAAATCTCAACTACAACAAGACTGTGCTCACAGCCCACAAAGAGGTGCACCTGGAGCTCCCAGCTCAGGTGACTGGGGAGGCTGAGCCACTGGGCCCTATAGAACACCTACTACATAAGGCCACTCTACCAACTCAAGGAGACATAGTAGCTCTACCCAATACATAGAAAGTGAAGCAGCCAAAATGTGGAGACAAAGAAACGTCACAAATGAAAGAAAGGGAAGAAAGCAAAGTACTGCAGTTAGAGTTCAAAACCACAGTCGTATGGTTACTCAAGAATCTTCTAGAAACCTCCAAAAAAATGGAAAAGGACCAGTCAGAAATAAAGCATACATTGACTAAAATAAAGAATAATATACAACCAAGATTACTCTACCCAGCAAAACTATCATTTAGAATTGAAGATCAGATAAAGAACTTCACAAACAAGAAAAAGCTAAAGGAGTTCATCACAACCAAACCAGTATTACATGAAATGTGGAAGGGTATTCTTTAAAAAGAGGAAGAAGAAGAAAAATAAAAAGGTCAAAAATATAAACAACAAAATGGCAACAAATACATACCTATCAACAATTGAATCTAAAAATCAAAATAAATGAGTAAGAAGTCTAATGGACACAATAAACTGGTGAATAAAATAGAATCAGAGGCATGGAAATGGAACAGACTGACGATTCTCAGAGGGAAGGAGGGTGGGGGGTGGTAAGAGATTAAACAAAAATCTTATATGCATATATGCATTACCTATGGACACAGACAATAGGGTGATGAAGGCCTGGGGTGAGGCGGGGACCAGGCAGAGGGGGGCAATAAGGGAGGGGAAAAAGAGGGACATCTGTAATAATCTCAACAATAACGATTTTTAAAAATTAAGAGCTTAAAGGCCAGGGACAAAGTCACAGAGGGCTGGTGGACAGACAAGAAGTGGTTAACTCATCCCAGCTGTTTCCTCCCACCAGTAGGCCCTGATGTTCACATTCCAAAAGACTTTCCCTCCACTTTTGACTCTTTCCATGACCTTTAGAGATAAAGTTTTCTCTAAATTCCCTGCAAGCTAAGCTGTTAATATGTCCCATGTAAGGAACTACATCCAGTAAGGTACTAAGCAATCACCTGGAAAATTTCAGGGTAGTGTAGAAAATTAGAAGGAATACAGGAGAGAAAGAGATAGGAAGAACAGTGGGGTAGGAAACCTAGCTCTCCCACTCCCCAGACATGTGACCTTGAGCAGTGACTTGACCTTCCTACTTTTCTTATCTTTACAATAAGATGACTAATAGTACCTACTTCATAGGCTTGAAAGGCTCAATAAACTAATCCACACAATGCCTAGTATATAGTGAGGGTTCAGTCATTTCAGCTGTCATTAGCTTATTCCAAGGCCTTCCTCCCTCATCCTGTTTGATGCTAGTATATGTGTATAGTACCTTTTATATGCATTCTTTGGAGGGCAGGCTGGGTGAGGTAGACAGCACTAGACTTCACCTATGTAATTATTTCTTGTCATCAACAGGAAACTGCAAATAAACCCCAGAACAATCCTCCAGAGCAACCTCTCCCTGTCAACTGTGTTTCTGAGCTGAGGAAGAGGAGCCCATCCATCGTAACCTCCAACCAAGGACGGGTGCTGCAGAAAGCCAAGGTACAGCCCTAGATGGTTTTTCTCAGTGATAAGAGCGTCATCGTGGGTTTGATTCTGGTCAAGGGCACATACTTCAGTTGCAGGCTCAATCCCCAGCCCCAGTCAGGGTACATGCAAAAGACAACCAATCGATGTGCAATGAAGTGTTTTTATCCTACAAGTCACACTAGACTATTCAACAAACTGATCTGTCTTGTCTTTCTGTACTTCAGGAATGGGAAATGAAGAAGACCTAGAAAGAGGATGAGAATTTTATCCAAAGGAAATATCAGCTTGTCCATCTAAGACGGAAATGCTTTTTTCACAAGGAGCTACCAGAAGACTGAAAGTAGCCCCCACCCTCTGGGGCACCCAAAAGACCAGCCTTTATTGTCTGCATGATCAAAAGGGGTATAGGGAGGGAAGAAGTAGAAGGGAAGAGGGAAATGAAGGGCATCCCTATATAACCTTACAGAGGGTGGGAAATGGGGGTGGAGGGAGACAGACATCTGCCCAGTTGTAAAGGTTTTGTTAAATGTCTTTGCCTTCCCTTCTGAAGAAATGAAAGCACGTGTGAATAAGCCATTCCATCCCACTCTCAGCATCCCATTCCCAGTCCCTAGGGCAAAGGAAGGCAGTGCTGAAGTATCAGTGATGCAATAGAGAGAGGCGACTTGATCATCCAATCACATTTGTGTTGGGCATTATTGACAGCCTTTGGGCAAGATAAATAGGCTCAAAAATCAATAGAACTATCCCTTCCTGCATAAAGGTGCACAAAAGCTATAGAGAACATGCAAATTCTACAATCATTCCTCATCTGCTTTAGGCAGATGCAGTGACCAGAACTCCAGATTTGAATTGTTTTCAAATCAGAGATCTAAGTAAGCAGCAGGCAAGGAGAGGTTCAGTAGCTGACCTATGTTAAGCTCTGAGTGATGCTCAATGACAGGAGCATGGATTGCTAATGTCCACAAGAAGTATCGAGCTTTGTAGGGTGGGGTCATTTGCTGTCAATCAAGTCCTTTCCCTATTTTATATGATGCTCTGGCTCCAGAGTTATGGTTAGAAATGCAGGAGACACTCTTAATATGTTTATCCTCATCTTGCACTCAAGAGGCCCACCTGTCTGCTCTTCCGTATCTGCCATCAAGTAAAACTGTCAGGGAGAACCAAGAGGACAGTGGCCCATTTCTGCCACATGAGTGCCTTTTATAAGCACTTGATATTTTTGTAGAGGAGCAAGGACCTCAAGCCCTGGGCAGTCTCCTTGCTGTGCCACTAATGACTTTCTCAACACTGTGGGCATTTTATAAGTCTACTACATTTCCCTCCAATAAAGATAAAACCATTGAGCCGTTGGAGCTCAGAGGTTAGCTCAAGGGGAGAGAAGGGAAATCCCATAATAACCTCTGGACACTCTGCTAGAGGCTTCACATACTTGACCCTGCCTAAGGCTTTACATACTTGAAGCCTCGTCCAAACTTTTCCACCCTCTGAGGTAGCTGGAGACCAGAGCAAGAAAAATAACCTGACCCAAAGCACCCAGCTGGTCAGTGGTGGAGCATAAGTTTTAGGGCCTATAGAGCCTGTCTGTATCCAGACAGGGCTGGGTTTGAGCCCTGCCTCTGCCACTTAACAGCTGTGACTTTGGGAAAGTCACTTGACCTCTCTCATTCTTGTTTTCCTTGCCTATCAAAACCAGGTTAACAATAGTACGTCCCTCCCAAGACTGTTGGGGGAATTAAGTGAGATAATACATGGGAAGCATCTTACACAGTGTCCAAGTAATAGTAAACATCTAGTCAATAGTGGTTCTTATTATTGACTTTTACATGGTAATTACAACCACCAAAAGCTATAAGGCAACAATCTGTAAGTGAGTTTTCATCCAGATTCCACCTGTGTATCTTCAATAGCAGGCACTCACATACTCTGGATTGTCAATATGCTTTTTAAAATGTGAATCTGAAATGTCACCTGACAACCCAATTTTGTCATTGTTTCCCATGTAGTTATTTTGAGACTAAGTGTCTTTTTCCACCAATAAATCTTAAGACTCCTTTGAGAGGTGGACCCTAGAAAATTAATAATTAATTTTGAAAAGAATTTTTATTTATTTATTTAAATATATTTTTATTGATTTCAGAGAGGAAGGGAGAAGGTGAGATAGAAACATCAATGATGGGAGAGAATCACTGATTGGCTGCCTCCTGCACGCCCCCTATTGGGGATCGAAACCTGGGCAGGGAATTGAACTGGTGAGCTCTTGGTTCCAGGGCCAATGCTCAACCACAGAGCCACACCCAGCTGGGCTAATTAACATTTATTGAACACTGCCATGCATCAGGCACTATGTTAGCCAGAGCCAGCTTCACAGGCATGCAACCTGTGCAGTCAGGCTTGGCAGGGTTCTGTGCTTGGTTGATTGCTCTGCTGTTGCCCTCTTAATAAGTTTAGAACAAGAGGTTCCACATCTTCCTTTTGTCCTTTAAATCAGCGGTCACCCACTGGTGGTCCGTGAGGTCCGAAAGGTTGGCGATCGCTGCTTTAAATTATGTAGGCAGTCCTGGTGCTAACTAATCACTTTTCTAGGCATTATCCTTTTAGTCTTCACTAAAATCCCGTGACATAGATACTGTTATCCAAGTTTTCACAGTTCAGGAAATGGAAACCAGAAAGGTTAGATAATTGGCCAAAGCCCACAGTTAGGAAGTAGTGGAGCTAGCACGTGAATGCAAGGTCTGACCCTAGAGGCCTTCTCAGTTCCAAATGGATAAAGGCTCTATTTCGTTCATTTCTCCCCCTCCCCTTGCATTGCAGCATTCAGAATGAAGCACAGTAGCATTTAATAAATAGGTGAATGAATGTATGCAGCACATTTGGTCTAAGTTGAGCAACTAAGAGAAGTGTAAAGAAAATGGCTAGCCCTAGCCAGGTTGGCTCAGTGAATAGAGTGTCGGCCTGCAGACTGAAGGGTCCCAGGTTTGATTCCCGTCAAGGGCATGTGCCCAGGTTTCAGGCTCAATCCCCAGTAGGGGACGTGCAGGAGGCAGCTGATCAATGATTCTCTCGTCATTGATGTTTCTATCTATCTCTCCCTCTCCCTTCCTCTCTGAAATCAATAAAAATACATTTTTTTTAAAAAAAAGAAAACGGCTAAAGCATAGATGCCAGTTCTTGCTTGTTAAATGCTTTGTTTGGTTGTTTTTCAAAGTATAGGCTCATGGATCTGAGGTGGACTTGAAGCTCCAACCTTCCCAACACTCCCAGATGTTTGGACTATCAAACTTCTAGTGTCAGATTCTTAGCGGGGGACCTTGGGCAGGTTCACCAACCTCTCTGAGCCTCAATTTTCTTATATGTAAAAGGGAATCATAATCCCTTTTTAAGTCGTGTTGCTCTGCCCCTAAGGCCAAAAGAAAACAAAAGGTGTTAGCTTCAACACATCTGAGTTGGGCCTTGGATAGAATATAAACATGCAAAAGACTCCAGTTCTGTCCTCATGGAATTCACAGACAAACAGAGAGAAAATCTGGCCCAAATAGGTACAAGTAACCCATGTTCTGGTGCATGCACTCAAATAAGGAAGGCACACTTCTCATCCTTTAAAAAATATTTTTTTAAAACCTTAGGGACTATCCAGTAACTAGTCTGGATATGCCTTCAACCCCAACCACCAGTCACATCCTGTCAGCTTTCCATACTAAATCTCTCGAAAATATATCCACTTCTTCCTATCTCTACTCATTCCATCAAACTTCATCAATTCAGTCAACAAATATTTATTGAGCATCTATTGTACTAGATGTCAGAAATCACAGCTCTGAACAAAACAGCTTCATGAAGCTCATACTCATTAGGAGAACAAGCAGAAAGAAAACAAAGCAAATAAAATACTAATATGGAAACAAAAATGTGCTGGACACACCTAAAATAGTAGCTATTTTAGATAATGTCTTTGTTGAGGTGACCCTACCTGGGCAGGGAATTGAACTGGTGAGCTCTTGGTTCCAGGGCCAATGCTCAACCACAGAGCCACACCCAGCTGGGCTAATTAACATTTATTGAACACTGCCATGCATCAGGCACTATGTTAGCCAGAGCCAGCTTCACAGGCATGCAACCTGTGCAGTCAGGCTTAGCAGGGTTCTGTGCTTGGTTGATTGCTCTGCTGTTGCCCTCTTAATAAGTTTAGAACAAGAGGTTCCACATCTTCCTTTTGTCCTTTAAATCAGCGGTCACCCACTGGTGGTCCGTGAGGTCCGAAAGGTTGGCGATCGCTGCTTTAAATTATGTAGGCAGTCCTGGTGCTAACTAATCACTTTTCTAGGCATTATCCCTTTAGTCTTCACTAAAATCCCGTGACATAGATACTGTTATCCAAGTTTTCACAGTTCAGGAAATGGAAACCAGAAAGGTTAGATAATTGGCCAAAGCCCACAGTTAGGAAGTAGTGGAGCTAGCACGTGAATGCAAGGTCTGACCCTAGAGGCCTTCTCAGTTCCAAATGGATAAAGGCTCTATTTCGTTCATTTCTCCCCCTCCCCTTGCATTGCAGCATTCAGAATGAAGCACAGTAGCATTTAATAAATAGGTGAATGAATGTATGCAGCACATTTGGTCTAAGTTGAGCAACTAAGAGAAGTGTAAAGAAAATGGCTAGCCCTAGCCGGGTTGGCTCAGTGAATAGAGTGTCGGCCTGTAGACTGAAGGGTCCCAGGTTTGATTCCCTTCAAGGGCATGTGCCCGGGTTTCAGGCTCAATCCCCAGTAGGGGACGTGCAGGAGGCAGCTGATCAATGATTCTCTCGTCATTGATGTTTCTATCTATCTCTCCCTCTCCCTTCCTCTCTGAAATCAATAAAAATACATTTTTTTTTTAAAAAAGAAAACGGCTAAAGCATAGATGCCAGTTCTTGCTTGTTAAATGCTTTGTTTGGTTGTTTTTCAAAGTATAGGCTCATGGATCTGAGGTGGACTTGAAGCTCCAACCTTCCCAACACTCCCAGATGTTTGGACTATCAAACTTCTAGTGTCAGATTCTTAGCGGGGGACCTTGGGCAGGTTCACCAACCTCTCTGAGCCTCAATTTTCTTATATGTAAAAGGGGATCATAATCCCTTTTTAAGTCGTGTTGCTCTGCCCTTAAGGCCAAAAGAAAACATAAGGTGTTAGCTTCAACACATCTGAGTTGGGCCTTGGATAGAATATAAACATGCAAAAGACTCCAGTTCTGTCCTCATGGAATTCACAGACAAACAGAGAGAAAATCTGGCCCAAATAGGTACAAGTAACCCATGTTCTGGTGCATGCACTCAAATAAGGAAGGCACACTTCTCATCCTTTAAAAAATATTTTTTTAAAACCTTAGGGACTATCCAGTAACTAGTCTGGATATGCCTTCAACCCCAACCATCAGTCACATCCTGTCAGCTTTCCATACTAAATCTCTCAAAAATACATCCACTTCTTTCTATCTCTACTCATTCCATCAAACTTCATCAATGCAGTCAACAAATATTTATTGAGCATCTATTATACTAGATGTCAGAAATCACAGCTCTGAACAAAATAACTTCATGAAGCTCATACTCATTAGGAGAACAAGCAAAAAGAAAACAAAGCAAATAAAATACTAATATGGAAACAAAAATGTGCTGGACACACCTAAAATAGTAGCTGTTTTAGATAATGTCTTTGTTGAGGTGACCCTAGAACCCTTGCATGGACTATTCCAACAGCTTGTCTCCCTACCTGTTTCTCACATCCTGAAATCTCCTCCCTACAGCAAAGTGACTCCTTTAAACATGTACAGGCTTTGTAGCATGTTCCCATTGCAATCAAAATAAGACTCATTCAAAAATTTTTGAACTACATCAAGGTACTGTTCACAGACCAAAAAGAAATCTCTACCCTAATGGAACTCACGTTTTAGTGGAGGGGGGGAGGGGGTGGGGGAGAGAGAGAGAGATGAGAAAATTGGAAGAAGAAAAGCAGGGAACAGTGATGGAGGAAGGAGGGGTGTCAGGACCCAATATTTTATTTTATTTTCAACATATATTGTTAGTGATTTCAGAGAGGGAGAGGGAGAATCATTGATCAGCTGCCTCCTGCATGCCCCACACTGGGGATTTAGCGCACAACTCAGGCATGTGCTCTGACGGGAACCGAACCACTGAACCACACCTGCCGGGCTGGATCCTGTACACAAAAGCTATAGTGGCAATCTGATTTACATTAGGTTAATGATTTACATTAACCTAATTCATATAATTATATTAACCTAATTCATGTAATTGCCACATTAATATAGTGGCAATACATTTTAGCTGTATAAAATTGTAGGTTATACGTATAATTAAATACAAAGATCTTTCTTATTCAGCACAGGTTCTCTTCTCTAATATAGTATAATTAAGCTATATTAAACCCATCTGTCAATGCCTAACCTTACGTCTTACGTTGTCACCACCCCTTCCTCCAGTATTTCAGTCCCTTTCTCGCAGTACTGTCTTCACTGGATCATTGCAGAAGCTGCTTACTATTACCTGAACTACTTTCCTGCTCTTTCATCTACTCACTCCACAGCTTTCAGTTCAAATACTATTCCCTTTAGGAAAACTCCCCACATTCGGCCATATTGTATTAGTCTTCCACAACACCATAACCCTCACCTTTAAACTTCGGTCCTATTTTGACTTTATATCGCGTTTGCATTTGTTTGTTTATAATTTCACATAAGCTCCAAAGGAGCACATCTGAGATCCCCGTGGAACCCGCGGCTAGCACCGCGCCTACGCCGTTGAAACAGAAACACATACAACGTGCAGAACCCACCGAGGACCGGAAGTGTTGCGCCCCGGCGCGGTAACAGACTGGCGCACCGGAAATGAACGTTCGCTTCCGGCATCCGGGAGAGGGAATCGCCCGAGAAGGCTGCCGGGAAGCGTGGTTTTTTGAGTGAGCGCTTCTCGCCACTTGGAGCCAGTGCGCGTGCGCTGCCTCTGTCGGCCTAGGTCGGGAACATGGCCGCGCGGTCCTTGTGGGCGGTCCGGCGGCGGGTGCAGCACCT